AGATATAACATTTCATATGCTATATGATGTGTACTATTTGAGAAGTTTACCTATTTAGCATATTTCAGTCACAATGAATAAACATGTTTCGTCCGTTGAATGACCTAGATAGGTCAGTATTGATTTTATTGCATTGATTGAACAGGTGAACTTTCTGTGAAACATTTATAAAGTGTAAAGGTAATTACGCAAGTTTGTTGTTAAATTTAAGGTGCGCTCGATAGCTAATGATGTTCATGAATGAGTTTTATTTTTGTTTTGCGGTATTTAGATAGAAGAATAACTACCACCTATTCTTAATTTTTATAAAACGAATTCAGCCCCTCGTTTGTGGGCTCCATATAGAACATGTTATTTTATTTTATTTGATGTAATTATTATCAATTTTGATAATAGGTCCATCGGTATACTTTGACAAGTGTCACGTGACGGGTGGTATTGAAATGATTGGATCAATGTCAATAACTTATAAAATTAAAGGCATATAAGGTAGATGTGCATGTAACAAAACCTGCAATCGATTTGACGAAAAAAAGTCAGAAGTTTTTCTGTCTAGTACGTTTTTGTGTACTTCTTAATTTATCATAACCAAATTGTATGTTTTACTATTTTTAAACGATTTCGAACTTGTAGAAAGATGTTTACTGAGAAACTACATTGTAGTGCACTTGATATTTTGAGTTTGTACGCAAATTTATTTCAAAAGGTTGGCAGATAATCAATATTTTGAATAGTAAATTCTCATCAGAGTTGGTTGAATTGAAAATTGGGAAAATTTCATGCTCACAAAAATAATCTTTATGTCAATGGAGTACACTTAGCCGAAATGCAATATATTGGGTAATAATTGTAAGATTATTAGCTTTTAGTGTTTAATATTGGTATAATTATTAGTTATCTTAGTTAGTAGAATGTAAAATTTGATATGAATCTTTCAGGTGCATCGAGATCTGCTGCATCTACTACTAGACCTGTTACACCAATGGCTGGTGTCCAGGGGCCACAAATTCCAAATACCCCGGTTAGTATTTCTAACTCCACTAAAACTAATTTTGATTTTGAGGGAAGACTTCGGAAAATGGAAAACAGTTTTGACAATTTGAAAAATCAGCAAATTTCGGATAAAGTTACAGAAGCATTAAAAAGTGTTGGAGCTTTGGTCGGGAGGCCAAAGTTGACGCCACCAAGCGTTCTTATAGCTGCATTAGAGTTTTTGGTTGAGTGTGCTAATAAAGCAAGTCACCCAGAGGATGATTTCTTTAGTAAGGCCTTGCAAGCTTGTAGACAATTTGAAAATCATGACATTTCTAATTTGTGTTTAAAATTGCTTGGGTCTACAGAAGATAAAAAGATTTCAGCTACTATTGCTGAATGGCAAAAGAATGCTAGGAAAAATGAGAAAACTGAAAAGAAGGTTGATAGCAAGGGTTGTAACAAAATGCCTATTCAAAGTGTGTCGGGTCCATCAGCTTTTCCATATCCTTGTCCAGCGTTCCCTTATAATCCGTTCCCTGTAGGTTATGGTAATCCTGTAGGTTATGGTAATGGTTTTCCCGGTACATGGTCCCGCTGCTCCACCTTTCAGTGATTCAAGTATGATGCGAAACCCAGGTTTTCGCCCTAGATTCCAAAGGAGAACTAAGGGCGCTTGTTTCTTCTGTAAGGAGAACGGTCATCACGTGAACTCGTGACCGAAGTTGAAGAAGGAGTAGTTAAAATGTTTGCATTAAGTTTTTTCTGGATTACCTAAAAGTTTTTCCGTTAAAATTTCGTAAAGTTTCAAAGTTTTCTGGCTTTCATTCCATTGGAATCTAATCCTTAGTGGCTAATTTTTAGTCACGCGGAATGGAGGTCGGGGAATTTTTTCTCTGTAATTTTTTCATTTTAGGGTTATAATCCAAAAAAAAAAATGAAATTTGAATTATCTGAATGGGAAATGAAGTCATTATTTGACCCTAGCCGTATTAAAATTTAAAGAAAACGAAGAAGTTTGGGTGGATTACAGAGGAAGAGTTCTCCTACCTCCATTTTCAGTTCCCCGCGCAGAAGAAGTAGCAGAAAATAGTATTTTTGATTTAGCCAAAAAAGTTATGATAGATACTCTAGGATAAACAATTTTGTAGAGAACTCGGTAGGTTCCCTATTTAAGGAAATTGCTCATTCACCTCAAACAGCTAAGAGAGTATTTGACGAAGTGGGTGGTACAACCAAATTGCCTTCATCATTTCTCTAACTTCTCATTTTTTCAAGTGTCATTTGTATGAAAATAGTTTTCAGTGTATTTGTATTTAACGTTTACCGAATATTTGTATATATATGAATACATTTGTATTTGTTAATATTGTATTTATTTACTTACTGATAACAATAAATGTGGAGTAATTGGCAATGAGACAATTATCAGACAATACGGCATATAATGATTACCAGTTTACGAAGAAAACGACTATAAATTTCATGGTTTTGTCTTTCACATATATTAAAAGAATTAGTCTTGGTTAGTTTGGGGTTTTTGTTTTTGTGAGTTTTGGGATTAATAGTTGATAAGGTATGATGGACGGGTAGGGGTTTGCTTCAATGGTAACAATCTTGAGAGTAAGGATATGCGAACTGAAATTTCACGCTCCAATACTAAAAGCATCTAGTTACTTGGAGTGTGGTGTCACTTAGGATAGCCCTATATCCTAAGCGACATCTCACGAGAAGTCACGAGACCTTTAGATTTAAATCATATTTCGAGATGCAGTCGATCTAAGGATGGAGGTTGAATCTTCCTCTCTTTGAGATAGCATTTGTTTGTTGGTTTAGTGAACTTCATGTTCGTTAGAATAAGAACTCTCGACTACTATTTTGTTTCCCCCCCGTCCCGCCCTCCCTCGTTGTCTGTGTTTTATCACACTCCAAGAATTGGATGCTCTCTAAAATTTCACGCTCCAATACTAAAAGCATCTAGTTACTTGGAGTGTGGTGTCACTTAGGATAGCCCTATTCCGTTATATTGACAAAATTGGAAGATCAATTGAGATATGTAAACGCTCATTGTCTTTCTTGTTTTTCGTTCATTTTTGTAGTATTAAATCAGGCCCTTGGCTATTTTGGATTTATTCGCATTCTAATGTTTAATATTATTATATGATATTAGTTTTGCTCATTGTTGTTGGTAAAGGCTATATGTTTTTATACTATTGCATAAGGAGAGGGACTTTGATGGTATGTATTTTAACAGATCTTTTATTTATTTAGTATCCGCATGAATCTACTTCGCACCGCCCCTAGTGTAAGTTACTTCATACTGACGCTGAATGCGTCTTTGTTCAGGCATATGGATGCATTTCCGTTAAATGGCTTTTCAATTTTTGATAGTTGCAATATTCTGATCAATCTTGCTTTAGAACACAAAACTATTGCTGAGCAAATGTCTGCGATAATCCCTTATTTATGTTTACTTTATTATACCCCACGCAACGAGTTGCGGAGGGTATAATGTTTTTGACCCGTCCGTCCGTCCGTCCGTCCGTCCGTCCGTCTGTCCGTCTGTCCGTCCGTCAGTCCGTCAGTCCTGTTTCTTGTCATCGCAACTCCTCTCAAACCACACAACAGAATTTCACGAAACCTTTTTAGATAATAAGGACATACTATGTAGTTGTGCATATCGACAGGAAATTGCGATTCAATTTTTTTTTCTAGGAGTTACGCCCCTTTGAACTTATTTACTTTAATGTACTACTGCAACAGTTTGTCATCGCAACTCCTCTGATACCACACAACAGAATTTCATGAAACCTTTTTAGATAATAAGGACATACTATGTAGATCTGCATATCGACAGGAAATTATGGTTCAATTTTTTTTCTAGGAGTTACGCCCTTTGAACTTATTTGCTTCAATGTACTATGCAACAGTTTGTCATCACAACTCCTCTGATACCACACAACAGAATTTCATGAAACCTTTTTAGATAGTAAGGACATACTATGTAGATGTGCATATCGACAGGAAATTACGGTTCAATTTTTTTTCTAGGAGTTACGCCCCTTTGAACTTATTTACTTTAATGTACTACTGCAACAGTTTGTCATCGCAACTCCTCTGATACCACTCAACAGAATTTCATGAAACGTTATTAGATAATAAGGACATACTATGTAGATGTGCATATCGACAGGAAATTACGGTTCAATTTTTTTCTAGGAGTTACACCCCTTTGAACTTATTTGCTTCAATGTACTACTGCAACAGTTTGTCATCACAACTCCTCTGAAACCACACAACAGAATTTCATGAAATCTTTTTAGATAATAAGGACATACTATGTAGATGTGCATATCGACAGGAAATTACGGTTCAATTTTTTTTCTAGGAGTTACAGCCCTTTGAACTTATTTACTTTAATGTACTACTGCAACAGTTTGTCATCACAACTCCTCTGAAACCACACAACAGAATTTCATGAAACCTTTTTAATAAGGACATACTATGTAGATGTGCATATCGACAGGAAATTACGGTTCAATTTTTTTTCTAGGAGTTACAGCCCTTTGAACTTATTTACTTTAATGTACTACTGCAACAGTTTGTCATCACAACTCCTCTGAAACCACACAACAGAATTTCATGAAACTTTGTAGATAATAAGGACATACTATGTAGATGTGCATATTGACAGGAAATTATGATTCAATTTTTTTTTCTTACACATATTTTATTTCTCCAATGACAATGTGAGGACGTGGGGTATGTGAGCGCGCTCACTAAGGTTCTTTAATTTATATCAGTCCGTGTGTACGATAAATATAGAGACAATTTACTAGAATAAAATTCAATATTTTTATAATTTTGGTATATTAATTGCCAATAATTGATATTGTGCCTTTCGCAGAAAGAGTGTATCACGATATAAATTGAAAATGAAGGCAATTAGGAGTTTACAGCCTCATAAATCATTTCTAATGAGGACATGTTGATTAAAAAAATAGTTATAAAGCATATATTATACTTACTGAATACAGCAAATAGGCAAGAGTACGTGGTGTTGTGATATGCAACAGATGTTGGCATTTTTGTGGTATTATCATATTCCTGAAAATGTAAAATGTATATCAATACTAACACTTAATGATCAAATCAATAAAAAGTATGTCATTGTCACCAACAATGCCAATAAAATACTAACTTGTCAGTATCTTTTTCTAATATATTCCCATCTTAAACAGTCACCTTTTTACTTCTTTTGATATACATTGTATAGGCCTACTTCGAATATTTTATACAAAGACTTTAAATGTTAAAGTACACACAAATTAAACCTTTTTCGCGTATTTTTGTTTTTTCCTATTTTAAATGTAAACGGATTTAACATTATTTACTGATTGCACATAGGTTTTCACTATACCTGGTCAAAATAATGGTTTATTGAGAATAAAGATATATATAGATTATTATGGAACGCCGACACTGTCTTATTATGACATTTATCATTATATGATGTTCATTTGCCATTATATGATGTCATTGTACCCTTATATGATGTGCAAATGACATAATATGATGTGCACTTGTCCTTGTATGATGTACACTTGTCATTATGTGATGTGAACTTGTCCTTATATGATGTACACTTGTCATTATATGATGTGAAGTTGTCCTTATATGCTGTCCAAACACGTTTATATGAGGTGCAAACATCTTTATATCATGTCCACAATTCATTATATGATGTGCTTTCTCCATTATGTTATGTGATTGAGTCCTTATATTATGTGATGCTTTCCTTATACGATGTAGAAACGGCATTATGTGATGTGCAATCACCTTTATACGATATGCAATCACCTTTATATGATGACAATTTGACATTATCTGATGTGCAAATTATATTATATGATGTGCAAATTATCTTATATGATGTGCAAATGGTCTTATATGATGTGCAAATTATCTTATATCATGTACAGATGTCTTTATATTATGTGCAAACTTCTTTATATGATGTGAACTTATCCTTATGTTATGTGCTAACATCGTTATATGATGTGGTAAGGTCATTATATTATGACAATGTAACATCATATGGTGTGGTTCGGTTTACATCTTTATATGATGTCAGAACATCATTATGATGATGTCGAAACATCATTATGATGATGTGCATTCATCGTCCTGATGGTCAATGAACATGATTACGATTAAAGCGATTACTCACTACGTCAGAACTGATTCCGATCTGCTTCTACGAAAAAAGCAGTTCTGTATCTATGTCGTATGAAAAATGGATGAGATTTTGAAAGAGTTAAACCTAGGCACGTTGGTATCGCGTTTTAAAGATGAAAAAATAACACCAGATATTGTCGGAAAATTGTCCAAATTTGAATTGCAAAGTTTAGGCTTAATCGATAGCTCTAAAATAATGAATTTACGGTTAAAGTGTTTAAATTATGGATCTTCTACTTTGTGCCGAGCACCTGGAAGTCGAATATTTCAGATACCAGAGGATATTCTACACTTTTTTCTTGAATGCCAATTTACTGTTACTGATATAGCAAAGCTCCTATCAGCTTCTGAGAGTACAGTTTATAGGAGAATGCGGCAATGTAATTTAACTAAAAAGAACGTCTCAAACATTTCGGATGAAGATTTAGATTCCTTAATACAGGAGATAGTTCAGGAATTTCCCCGCTGTGGCGAAAACATGATAAAAGAATTGTTAATGCAAAAAACAGCTATACAGGTATGTTGAATACTCTCTTTTTTATTTTTATATTTGATTTCCTTTCTTATACCAAATAAATCACACAGTCATGTGTTTCATAAAATTAATTGTTACCAGGTGGTGAACATGGGATCTAGTCGTTGTAAAAAAGGGGATGGGGTTGGGTGGTATTGCGGTTGGAATTTTCGATTTGAATCTTTTTGCTAAAACTGTTAATTTTTGTAGCATGGACATTAAAGTTCTTTCTTGTACACAACTACTTTTAGAACTGTTTTGCATTTTGAAAAGCAGAAGAATTTTTATTTTCAATTTGTCTTTTGCAAATCAACTTAATTTTTTTTCTCCCGAAATCCTTTAGCCACTAGCCCGCCTCCATACCGAATGGTCATGCCATACATTTACAAGTATTACCTATTAAATATGAGTGAAAATGTAGCGGGACAGTAAACTCAACATAAAATTGTCACCAAACGAGCATCCACAGTTTTCGGGAATGGATAAAAGTGTAATTTCCCATGAATATTGATTCACTTATAGAGCAAAGATATAAAAGATGATGGCAAAAAGAATAAAAAGTGGAAACGATGAAATCGTCAAAAAGATTACAACCCGACAAAAATTTACAAAACAACCCAAGGCCACCAGTGGGTCTTCAATAAAGCGAGAAATCCCACACCCAGATGCTGGCTTGAGAAGGCTCTGAAACACTTATATAAAAAAAAGATGTGGTGTGATTGGTATGACACAACTCTTCACAAGAGACCAAATGACACAAAAATTAACATCTATATAGGTCACCGTACGGCCTTCAACAATGAGCAAAGCCCATACCGCATAGTCAGCTAAAAAAAGGCCCCGAAATGACAATTGTAAAACAATTCAAACGAGAAAACTAACGGCCTAATTAAGAACCAAAAAATGAACAAAAAACAAATATGTAACATAGCAACAAACGACAACCACTGAATTACAGGCTCCTGACTTGGGACAGGCACATACATACATAATGTGGCGGGATTAAACATGTTAGCGAGATCACAACCCTCCTCTATACTAAATCAGGAAAATAGACGCCACTCTACACTTCGAAACACAGAGATGAACCAAAAGTATAAAACATACAAGAATAACAAATGCTTAAGGTTCTGGACTTAGGACGGTCGCAAAATACTAGTAAGGCGAAGTTAAACATGTTTAGTGAGCGCTCAATCTACCCGCTCACCTTGAGCCACTGTACACATATTTAACTTCAACGTCTACAATTTTGAGTGTCAATGCCAAAGAATAAATTTTGGGATCCCTAAAAAATTTAGCATTTTCACAATTTTATATTTTCCATTAATTCGAAAAGTCCGTCACAGCTGTTTAAGTCATACTTTAGATATTGAACGTAATCAAACTTTTCAGCCGAAGGTTTTATTTTGTTAAAACATGAATCTATGGTGGCATATATCTGCCCCTACTTGTCACTTAGTTAAGTCGTCATAATTAGCTAAATAAGTCTACTTGTCACTTAATTAGATCTACTTGTCACTTAGTTCAGTTCACTTGTCAGATATATAAGTCTGTTTTTACATGTCATGAAATGGGCAAAAACACCTAAAGATGTTTTTATTTTCTATACAAAATAGTGTCATTTTATTATCTGACAAGTAGACTTAATAAACTTTCTCAAAATGTGTTTCGGAACAGATTTTTTCCGAATGTGACCTACCGAATTAGACTTATTACAGGGTTTGTACTAACATGAGCTACAATACGGCTGCCACATGTGGAGCAGGATCTGCTTACCCTTCCGGAGCACCTGAGATCACCCCCAGTTTTTGGTGGGGTTCGTGTTTCTCAATCCTTAGTTTTCTATGTTGTGTTTCGTGTTCTGTTGTTTGTATGTTTCTTTTTTAGCCATGGCTTTGTCAGTTTATTTTTTACTTATGAGTTTGAATGTCCCGTCGGTACATTTCGCCCCTCTTTTACTCCAGTTTAAATCTCCGGAAAACGAAACATTGATATGTACATGTCACTTAAGTTAGAGCACCGTCAAGTATGCTGTTCTTTTTAACCGATGTTTTAATACTCAAGTAATCCGTAATATTAGTTCAAAAGGAGTAATGCATATTGTGTCTTCTACAAAACATCCTTGCCCAAGACATGCTAAAATAAATATGCTTACAAAATTTCATTTGTTTTTGTATTCATATACATGAAATATATACATATATATATATATATATATATATATACATGTCTAAATTGAAAACGACGTTCAAACCTATGATTGCGTTGGATAAAAACCGCAATTTTTATACGTGTGCATGCAAAACAAATTTCTTGGTAGAGGGGTCTAAATACAGCACAAACAACATTTTCCAAAAGAACAAAAAAGTGAAAAAGTATATTTCAACAAAACGCATTTGACTAACAGGTCGAACAACTGATGTTCTTAAACCCTGCTGACTGCCATTGGCGATTGCCAAATAAACGGATCACAAGATGTAACAAAATGGATCTTTAAAAAATAATATCTAATACCAAACAGAAAACAATAAACTTGCGGAAAAGATGGTATACCGCAAACAAAAGGTGCAAAAATTAGTACACCATATCCGGATTTCGACAATTAATGTCTCTTCAGTAATGTTAGGGATCGAAACAGTATTTGGAAGGCCATAAAATTTACCTCAATTTAGGATAGACTCTTGAATATATATATATAGATCTAACCACTTCATCCTTTAACAGGTGACTAGAATGCGTTTAAGAGAGAGCTTACATCGGCTGGATAACATTGGAATATAAGATAGAAAGAAGAGAAGGTTGCATAGAGGTATATACAACGTTGATGGTGTAAATCATATGTGGCATATTGACACAAACCACAAGCTTATCCGATGGAATTTTATTGTGTTAGGGGGAATTGATGGCTTTAGTAGATTTATAACCTTTCTCAATTGCAGGGACAACAATAAAGCTGTTACATTACTGGATTCCTTCAAAAATGGTGTAGCAAAATTACGGAATGCCTTTACGTGTTCGATCCGATAAGGGCCTTGAAAACTGCCTAGTTGCTGATTAAATGATCAAAGATCGAGGTCCTAACCGTGGTAGCATGATAACAGGGAAAAGCTGTCACAATCAGAGGATAGAAAGGTTGTGGAGGGATGTTTTTGAAGGTGTATTGTGCTTTTATTATGATCTTTTTCATTTCATGGAGGAAGAAGGCTTTCTTGACAATTCACTTAGCGACCACATGTTCGCTCTACATCATGTATATATATGCAAAAAATCACGCGATGAAAAATTGAGCATATGGGCACGGGCGTGGGGAAAACACCGCCTTCG